GGCAGTAGGCGTGGTCACAGACCTTCCAGCGTCTTATTTATAACAGAATAATTATTGAAAAAGGAACATAAGACCCCATCTAAAGGTCGAAAAATCGTGGTATTTTTTGTACAAATTAAAATAGAGGTACTTTTAGAGAACCAGGAGTATGCACATCAATGAATCGTTTACATACGAGGCTGGGCTGAGAAATAATCGGCCTCATCAAGAGTTGGCGGCGCTAGGAACAAAGGCAATTGTTTTTCGTAAAAACTATCTTTCAAATAACTTCTGTCAAATTTTCAGCGAGCTGCGCTACTTGGTTTGTACTTGACAGTGATTGAAGGCAAACAGTTTTTACATTTTCACAAAAATGAATAAAATCGAATATCGCGCAGTGATTAGATTCTTGTTTTTAAAAAAGAAAACGAACGATGAGATCAAAATCGAACTGGATGATGTGTATGGGGACTCTGCACCTTCGTTATCAACAATAAAATATTGAGAGGTCACCACACCAGAAGTGGTCGGTAAAATCCATGGTATGGTAATTGACGATCGACGGATAAGAGTGTGTGAGATTGCTGAGGCTGTGGGCATCTCATGTGAACGAGTGGAGAATATATTGCACGAATATTTGAGAATGACGAAGCTCGCTGCCAGATGGGTGCCGCGTTTGCTCAATGCCAACAACAAGCGAAACCGTGTGACAACTTCAAAAGAGTGTTTGGCAATGTTTAATCACAATAAGAAGGACTTTTAGCGCCGTTTTGTAATCGTGGATGAAACATGGATTCATCACAATACGCCAGAGACGAAGGAACAGTCAAAGCAGTGGGTTTCTCAGGGCGAGTCAAAGCCAAAGAAAGCCAAAGAAAGCCAATGTGGGTCTCTCTGCTAACAAGATCATGGCCACAGTTTTTTAGGATGCGCACGGTATTATTCATATCGTTTACCTTGAAAAGTGCAAAACCATCACTGGCGATTATTACTTAAAGCTGTTAGACCAATTCGACGACGATTTGAAGCAAAAAGACCGCATAAGAAAGTGGTCTTCCACCAGGACAACTTACCGGCGCACAAATACGCAGTCACAATGGCAAAACTGTATGAATTGCGTTACGAATTGGTTCCTCATCTGCCATACTCCCCAGATCTGGCGCCCAGCGACTATTATCTGTTTCCAGACTCGGTGGTAAAAGATGGGGAGGTCATCGCTGCGACAGAGGCCTATTTTAAGGACTTCGAGAAATCGTATTATATTATAGAGCTTACAGGGGACTATGTTGAGAAATAAATTAAGTTTTGCCAAAAAAAGTTGTGTTTTCTTGCCTAGGTCTAGTCTGGTATCTAATTCTGCCTGTAGGCAATTATTATAAGATGGTTTTCACTAATAATTTTTTTCATGGAAGTATAATTCAAAAGCTTATTAAAACAGATTATTATAGTTATTTAACTTATTTAAATAATATTTTAATTGTAAATAGAGAGTTATTTTTGTAAGTCTCAATATCAAGCATCTAGAATTATAAGTAAAGAATATGATTATCCTAATTCTTTTTACTTGTTTTCAAGGAAAAAACTGGAGATTACCATGACCATGATTAGACATTTTGTAACGCAATATACTCTTCAGATAGTAATGGAGCTCTACCTTTATCTTTTTGTATCAAACCGGGGTTACTTTGGCTTTACGTGTTACTTTGACACCTTTAGGGGCTACTTTGACTTCAACGGTTTTCTCGAATTGTCGTTCGAGCGCGTGGAGGGGATCGAGCGCGCGCCAACAGGTTTTAGCCACAACGGTCTCCAGCGTGCCGTCTGGCGTTCACCGTAAAGTACCTTTAGAGCGTTTGTTAATTTTTCTGTGTTTTTTAAGATTGCGCTGGCACCACTTGGGTAAGTCTATCAACATTGTTGTTTCTACTGTAGTTTAATAGTGTAATTAAGTAGACATAATTTTTCTATGGCTACAAATAGTATTTTATTTTATGCTTGGATCTTGTATGTGATGGTTTTTTGTGTAAAAAAAATTGTACTAGGCACTTTTTTTGTTTTAGATTAAATGTAAATAAATCGCAATGGTGAAAGTCTACAAGAGAAAGGTTGGTGCTCGACCTTGTAAAAACTACAGGGAAGAAGACCTTGCCAAAGCTGTTGCAGCAATTCAAAATAAGCAACTTAGTCAAAAAGCCGCTGCTTTGCAACATAAGGTAAATAGAACTACCCTCCTCAACAGAATCTATCGTAAACATGAAGAAAAACCCGGTCACCCTACAGATTTGACACCCGAAGAATAGAGACTAATTGCAGACACACTGGGCATCATAGCCGATTGGGGGCATCCATTGACGAAGGCTGATATTCGGGAGGTCGTGCATGGTAGAAATGTTGCTCAGTGGAATGGTAATATGCCAGGTCCTGACTTTGTGGACGCCTTTGCAAAGAGAAATAATCTTAGCAATAGACTAGCTACAAACATTAAACCACAACGGGCATCAGTGGGTCGCGGCGAAATTACAGAATATTTTGAGAATATGATATCTGCATTAGAAGGGACTCGTCCAGATTTGATTTACAATTATGATGAAACCAATATTTCGGACGATCCTGGTGCCAAAAAGGTACTTGTAGCACGAGGTCACAAGCGTGTGGAAAGAATTCAAGACCATTCCAAGTATTCAGTCAGCTTGATGTTCTGTGGCACTCTGGCACTGCTAAAGGAAAAATTCTTGCTCCTATGGTGGTATATAAGTCCAAAATTCTCTATGAAAATTAGACCAAGGGCGGATCGTCAGGAACACTCTCAGGATGGTTCGATATGGATCTGTTTGAGGTCTGGTTTTTCAGAATACTTCTATTAGAGTAGGAGCCGAAAAAGTTTTCTTCATCGGAGATAATTTGGCATCACATTTTTCTCCCGAAGTTATCGGAAGTGCGGTGGATAACTACATTTATTTTACAACTCTTGCACCATCTTCAACACACTTGCTCCAACCTCTTAATGTTGGAGTGTACGGACCTTTGCAAAAACAATGGCATAAAGTTCTTGACAAATGGAGGCAAGAATCCAGAAAAAAAGGGTCTATACCAAAAGAGCATTTTTTTAGTGTTATTACAAAACTTGATGGATACCATTGCTCCCAATATCAAAAAAAAATCTACAGAGCGTTTTTAGAGCCACGGGACTTTATTCGTTCGATTCCAAGGCTATTCTGAAAAAGCTTCCAAAGGAAAATGAAGAAGAATCAACACGGATCCTTGACAGTAGTTTCCTTGAATTTCTGCAAGAGACAAGAGGTTTTAATAAAGACAGAATTCGACATGAAAGAGGAAAGAAATTCGTCGTTAAAGCAGGGACTCAACTAATAAACAATAATGAGAGCATCCGAGTAGAGGACACTGTGCCAGACGAAGATATTAGTGAGGCTCTACTTCCAACATTTGACATGCTCAAAGGAAAAAATCAGCCAGCTATCGCTGAAGCTGGATGTTCTGGACAAAACCAGAAGATCCTAGATTAACAAGAAAACCATCAAGTAAAAGAATAAAACGCAAGCCCAGACGCTTCGACAGCTCCTCAGATGAGGACGATGTGCCTTTGAGTGTCTTAAAACAGAGGGTGACAAATGAAGATTGTAGTCTGCGCACTACTGACACCTCTTCAAACGAAGATGATGGTAATTTATGCACTATTTGTAAGGTTGATTTTCGTCATTACCAGCTTAAAAGGCCATGGATTCGCTGCGTCACTGTGGCAGTTGCAATAAAGGCTCGACAAATGTATCCTATGAATGTGAGCGGTGCAAAGACGACTATTCTACTTAAACATTTTTGTTAATGTGTTTTTTAATAGTTCCTATGTTTTTTTGTTGTTTTTTAATTCTTATGCAAATATAGAAAAGAATGTTTATTTTTTGTTGGTTTCTTATTTCTTAATAAGTTTATTTATATTAAATAAATAACCTATTTTTTCAAATTTAACCTTTGTTTTATTAAGAAAAGTTGTATAAAACAATTTTTTTTTTATTTATGGGCATCAAAGAAACCCCCCAGACGGCTATCATTGATTTTTAAAATATATAAACGTCATGTTAAAGTAGCCCCCCTCAGGGGCTAGATTGACACTTTTTAAAAAAATGTATAAAATTTTCCTGGTAATTTAAGCCTTCCCTTTTAGTGTATTTCTCAAGCCAACACTTCAAGTAGTACGACGAGATAGAATGAGCGTCCATTATAGCCTTTTTTTGCGTTTTGCCACAAAAACCACTCAAAATATGTCAAAGTAACCCCGGTTTACGGTACATGAATATCTATTATGTATACCTACATTGCCGTTTGAAATTAATTAGGTACAAACATCCAGTTAGAAAGTGATCTAAGAAGATAGAAATTTGAATATATAACTGTTTTTGTTTTTAATAAAAAAAAGTAAAAAGTACTCTCCAATTATTTACCTAATACAATTCCTACAATAATTTATTTAAGCATAAATCGATTTCTATGAAAATATAAATGATAGACTTACCAAGAGTTTATTTTGGTTGATAAAAAAAGTAGAAGTAAAAAACATTTTTACTCAGTCAATATTTAGGGTTAAAAATGTTTAAAAATGTATACATAGTCATTGTTACTAGCAATATTATACTTATACTTTCATTAATAAAGTAAATTAAGAAATACGACAGAGTTTTGAAGTCTTAAAAGATTCCATTATCTTGATGGATGCTACTATTGAGTTTATTATAACCAAATACTTGCCAAAAGATATATTTATGTCACTTATAAAATAAATTGTTTCGGTTCGATATCTGATACTAAAAAATAAAAACTTTAAAGCATTATTAAATTTAGAAATTTGAAAAAAACGTTAATAGTCATACAATCCTTATAAACCCAAGCTTTTTTGATATAATTCTCTAAAATATTCTCGTTAGAATATTTCGTATCTCAACTAGTAGAATACAAACTATAAGAAAGAAGATCACTATACAAGACACAACAGGATTTATTATTGTATGCTAGGTCTGGTCCTCGTTGGGGGGTTTCTGCTCTTGACCTGTGCAGTTCCAGGATAGTCGTTTATGAACAGAAGCGTCTCGATTATCATTTTTCTGAAACAAAAATATTTTAATCAATACAGTAGTCAATAAAATTTTCAATTATAAAAAAAAACATGGGTAAAAACTATCGAAAACGCAAATCGTCTCAGAAATACGATAAATTGAAAAATAAATTAAGAAATAAATATACAGAGAAGGCTACTTTACGTGTTCACTCTGATCTTTTATTTATAAACTCCAAACTCGGCTAACTGCAACTCGAAAAATGCCTCTTAATGTATAAAGTTTGCAAAAGTTTGGTCAAAAAGATACTATTTTATGTGTAAATTCTGCATTTAAGCCAAATAAATATACAGAGAAAGCTACTTTATGTGTTCAGTCTCTTTTACTTATAAATTCCAAACTCGGCTAACTGCAACTCGAAAAATGCCTCTTAATGTATAAAGTTTGTAAAAGTTTGGTCAAAAAGATACTATTTTATGTGTAAATACTGCATTTAAGCCAAATAAATATACAGAGAAAGCTACTTTATGTGTTCAGTCTCTTTTACTTATAAATTCCAAACTCGGCTAACTGCAACTCGAAAAATGCCTCTTAATGTATAAAGTTTGTAAAAGTTTGGTCAAAAAGATACTATTTTATGTGTAAATACTGCATTTAAGCCAAATAAATATACAGAGAAAGCTACTTTATGTGTTCAGTCTCTTTTACTTATAAATTCCAAACTCGGCTAACTGCAACTCGAAAAATGCCTCTTAATGTATAAAGTTTGTAAAAGTTTGGTCAAAAAGATACTATTTTATGTGTAAATACTGCATTTAAGCCAAATAAATATACAGAGAAAGCTACTTTATGTGTTCAGTCTCTTTTACTTATAAATTCCAAACTCGGCTAACTGCAACTCGAAAAATGCCTCTTAATGTATAAAGTTTGTAAAAGTTTGGTCAAAAAGATACTATTTTATGTGTAAATACTGCATTTAAGCCAAATAAATATACAGAGAAAGCTACTTTATGTGTTCAGTCTCTTTTACTTATAAATTCCAAACTCGGCTAACTGCAACTCGAAAAATGCCTCTTAATGTATAAAGTTTGTAAAAGTTTGGTCAAAAAGATACTATTTTATGTGTAAATTCTGCATTTAAGCCAAATAAATATACAGAGAAAGCTACTTTATGTGTTCAGTCTGTTTTACTTATAAATTCCAAACTCGGCTAACTGCAACTCGAAAAATGCCTCTTAATGTATAAAGTTTGCAAAAGTTTGGTCAAAAAGATACTATTTTATGTGTAAATTCTGCATTTAAGCCAAATAAATATACAGAGAAAGCTACTTTATGTGTTCAGTCTCTTTTACTTATAAATTCCAAACTCGGCTAACTGCAACTCGAAAAATGCCTCTTAATGTATAAAGTTTGCAAAAGTTTGGTCAAAAAGATACTATTTTATGTGTAAATTCTGCATTTAAGCCAAATAAATATACAGAGAAAGCTACTTTATGTGTTCAGTCTCTTTTACTTATAAATTCCAAACTCGGCTAACTGCAACTCGAAAAATGCCTCTTAATGTATAAAGTTTGTAAAAGTTTGGTCAAAAAGATACTATTTTATGTGTAAATTCTGCATTTAAGCCAAATAAATATACAGAGAAAGCTACTTTATGTGTTCAGTCTCTTTTACTTATAAATTCCAAACTCGGCTAACTGCAACTCGAAAAATGCCTCTTAATGTATAAAGTTTGCAAAAGTTTGGTCAAAAAGATACTATTTTATGTGTAAATTCTGCATTTAAGCCAAATAAATATACAGAGAAAGCTACTTTATGTGTTCAGTCTCTTTTACTTATAAATTCCAAACTCGGCTAACTGCAACTCGAAAAATGCCTCTTAATGTATAAAGTTTGTAAAAGTTTGGTCAAAAAGATACTATTTTATGTGTAAATTCTGCATTTAAGCCAAATAAATATACAGAGAAAGCTACTTTATGTGTTCAGTCTCTTTTACTTATAAATTCCAAACTCGGCTAACTGCAACTCGAAAAATGCCTCTTAATGTGTAAAGTTTGTAAAATTTTGGTCGAGAAGATACTATTTTATGTGTAAATTATTTAAGCCAAATAAATGTACTGAGAAGGCTATTTTATGTGTTCACTTTGATCTTTTACTTATAAACTGCCAACCCGGCTAACTGCAACTCGAAAAATGCTACTTAATGTGTAAATTTTGTAAAATTTTGATCGAGAAGATACTATTTTATGTGTAAATAAATGTACAGAGAAGGCTACTATGTGTTAACTCTGATCTTATACGTACAAACTGGAAACTCGGCTAATTGCAACGCGAAAAATGCCTCTTAATGTGTAAATTTTGTAAAACTTTGGTCGAGAAGATACTATTTTATGTGTAAATTCTGCATTTAAGCCAAATAAATATACAAAGAAGACTACTTTATGTGTTCATTCTGATCTTTTACTTATAAACTGCAAATTTGGCTAATTGCACCGCGAAAAATGCTAGTTAAAACTTGGTCAATTTTGGTCATGTTTAGCATATGTCAAATTAATAACAAAATATTACCTACTTTTATGTCATCCACAATCCCGGCTGTATGATATCTGTAACTTCTTTTCATTGCTTGACGGTGTTGCCCTCTACTTAAAGACTCACAGTCATCTTCGTGTTGGGAGACACCTACAGAAAAAATTTAAAACATTAATTAGGTTCTTAAATTAGCAATTAATTGAAATAATGAAATATGAATAAAGAAAAAGCAAGTGGTGCTATGCTCTAGACCTACTCTAAGTGGTTCACTAGATTACAGAGTATTGGAAGTATTGACAAATAATCTGTAAAAAAACGTTTCTATTATACATTTAATGGGTTATAGCCGATATTCAAGTAAAATATAATTATTTAGACAGTGACATCAATGATTACATTACTGTTATACCAAAAGAAGAATGGGCAGTTTTGCCTCGACCCCAATAAGAGTAAAATATATGACAAATGAAAGATATCGTAAGAAGGACATTTGTTTTTTTTTTATGAATTCTCTCAATTTGCTGTCCGTTTCAAGTTGTATCATAATACATGTGACGAATTACAAGTTTTTTTATTAGAAATCGTCCCCCAGCAGGTGCGTTTACTGGAATATTTTCAGAAAGAGCTTGAGACAAAGTCACCGCATGTCTTTGACCTCGGTAGGTTTCTTGACAAATAATGTTTTATTCATTCTGTTCTCCCATATGCATAGGTTGTTCCCGGCATTTCCACACCGGTTTGGATGTTACCTTAGAGATCACAAGATATTCTTACCTTATTTACAAATATTTTTATATAAATGTAAAAAAAATGAACGGCTTACACACAGGAATATGCAGGATACCCCACCCTGTGTGCATAACAAATGGTTTTGTATTCCTTCTAATGTGACTGGGGTAATATTATTATGTTTGTTCATTATTTGGTCTCAAACTACTGGACCTTTGGAATGCATACACGTAGAGGCTCTTGGGTAAGGGATACATATGGTGGATAAAATCCTCGACTGCATAATATGATATACGCGGAAATTATAATTGTTTCTATATTATTAAGTAATAATTACTATTATTTGCCTGTAATAAGCACTACAATAACAGAATATAAGCACTGACCTCTATTGTAAAATTAAGTTACATTTAAGACGATATAACTCGGAACGGACAAATTATTGAGATGAGTCGTAATTAAAAGAATTGTTCTCCTTAGAAAGATCCTTATTAGGGTTGTGGCAATTACCCGTATATGTCTGCCCACTGTCTTCTGTATGTTTTTTTTATTACAACCACGTTTTTTATAACTGCATAGATAATGTGTAAAAGTTACATTGCTATGCCTAAAAAGTCTAATAGAAACTATTGAAAATTTTGGAGTTGATGAAATATTGAACTTCGTATTATTTAATGTAAAGTTTCTTTTATTTAAATTTAGGAAAAGGGCAACCGAACGAATTAATAAGGTTTACTTAAAATTAATTGGAAATAAATACTTAAAAAAGAGAAGATTATCCAAAGGTTCAAGATTCACAATTAGAGTTGGAAAATGCTTTTTGTCAGTTAAATTTTCCACATTTGAAATTGATACCTACATGCTGAATAGAAAATTATCACATTGCCTTCCACCGGATCTATTGTGGCTCATTGTGGCAAAATATAGTTTACCGTACAAACCACAATTTTTAATTTTATTTTTTTATTGTTTGTATTTGCCATAGATGTTCCTTCTGGACTCCAGGACCCTTTGGATGGTGACAGTGCTGAATTTATCCCTTAATGGTATATCTGGTGGTGTGATAAACAAAATAAGATTAAAACGAAAATTGTACTATATGCCTTCAAAGTAGAGAGGCTTAAGCTACACTTCTACCTCTTCATTTGTGTTCTACTATACAGGGTGTTATTGAAATACACGTACATATTAAAATGGGGAATAGTATGTAATGAACAAAAACGATTGGCACCAATTTTAACTTCAAATTCTAAAATTTAAATATTGGGGAAGAGTCCCCTTTTCCGACCTACTAGTTTCCATATTTAAAGAAGTAAAATAAATCGAAATTGAACTTACCCATAGAAATTGCAATGTTGCCGTAGCAAAACCAATTAATTCAAAATAAAGTTTATTACAGTAATTGTTCAAAATGCCGTCCATTATTATTTACACACACTTGCAATCGTCTTTCCAAAGAACTTTGAACATTAGAAATTAGTCTTGGATTTTGTCGTAGTTCCTCGGCTACCGCATTAACTTTATTGGTTAATTGTTCAACACTATTAATAGGTTCATTATAAACCAGTTGTTTCATGTGACCCCACAAAAAGAAATCGCATGGATTTAAGTCCGGAGATCTCGGAGGCCACTTAGTAGGTCCATTTCTGCCTATCCACTTTTGAGGAAATCTAATGTTCAAAAACTGCCGTACGTTTAAATCAAAGTGAGGAGGAGCGCCATCTAGTAGGTACCACATCCGTTGCCTTAATTGTAACGGTATCTCTTCTAGGAGTACTGGCAAAATATCTTCTAAAAAGTGGAGATATCCTGGCCCATTTAATCTGTTCGGGAGAACATAAAGCCCGATTAAATACTGATCTATTATGCCAGCCCAAACATTTATTGAAAATTTTCTTTGATGCCCAGTTTCCCTAATGGCGTGAGGATTTTCATCACTCCAAATATGCGTATTGTGCATATTGAACACGCCATCACGAGTGAATGAAGCCTCGTCAGTATACAATAATATTTTCAGAAAATCAGGAATATCAACACATTTTTGAATCATCCATTCACAAAACTCCACTCTCTTTTCTTCATCACCTGGATATAAGGCCTGGACTTTTTGGATGTGATAAGGATGTAAACCTTGTTCTTTAAGTGTCCGCCACACAACAAATGAGGACACTCCAATTTCAAGACCTAGTCTTCTACAACTTAATTGAGGCCGGTTTTCAACAGCTTCCAATATTTCTTCTTCGGCCGCCAATGTTCTTTGTGTTCTTGTTCTCCCTCGATCTGCATTGACACTCTCAAATTTTCCATGGTCTCTTAGATGCTGAACAGTTGAAATAAACGTACGACAGTCCGGAATTCTCCGATTTGGAAACCGTTCGCGATACAGGATTTGTGCTTGCCGAGAATTTTCTCCAGCTGCCCCATAAACCAGCACTATATCCGTTAGTTCAATATTCGTAAATAGTGGCATCGTAAAAAAATATTTAAAAGTAATCGTAACAACACTTTTTACCAACTTGGAAATGACGCGCTCGTGTTAGCCAGATTCGTAAATCAACTAAAATTTTAATAATCTATAGTTTATCAAATATTCTAGTTTTTTGATAACCAGGATAGTAAAAACCAGTCTTCGGAAATAGAAATTAATTCGAAAATCTTGGCAACATGGTTATTTCTTACAAGACTAGTTTTCTTATCATCTGACAAAAACTTGCATATTAATTACTGTTGATGTTTAAAATAGGTAAATAAACCTAATTTATATAGGTCATCCTCAACATATCAGTGAAGTACGTTTGTTTTAGAATTAATTTTCAAAAATTAATAACTCCCTTAATAAGGGGTATTTTTAAAAAATAATATTTTTCTACATTCAGTGGAGATCTGCGCAATACCCAGTTTTAATATGTATTTCAATAACACCCTGTATAATACCAACCTAATAAAGGCTCTTTATTATTATTGTTATCTTCTCAAAATTAGTTTATTTATTTTAACCACCGACACCACTGCTTTATTACATTAAGCAAAGTTTCATCCCGTTTCATCAACTCCTGCGATAACTATGAATTAAAACTAATATTATTTCCAAGACTCTAGAATATAATAAAGCACATTCAAAAAACAACTCACAAGAAAATTATTGAAATTACGTTGGCTCAGAGTTTTCTTCTTCTAGTGACGAAAGTGAAATAAGAAATGAGGAAAAATGAAATCAGAATTTACGTATATATGGATATCTACACATCCAAAAAGTTGCCACCTTTTCTACAATCTTTTTTTTTTATATACAGAGATATTTTATTGGGAAATATCATGTTGTTAAGAGTAGATCTACATATAACATGTTTAGTGGTTATCATCTTAGGAGGATAATAAGGCCTAAGTGCCGTGGGGGTAACCCACCCTCCACACGTTACAGATACAGATGTTTAGTGGTTCTTTAAATTTTTATAACCAAGATACCGCGTGTTCATTTATTTGTTTTATCATATCTTTTAAACCACAATGTGTATTTGATAAATATGTTTTCTGTGTCTATTGTAGTATGTAATATTCGATAAATGGTATTACGAATTTCAAATTTCTTTTCTCTGGAATATCTTTTGTTTTCAATGATGGGCGAGTTTTGCGGTGATCTTCTTTCTGCAGTTCACTATTATGATTTTGTAATACTCCTCTTAATTTGGTTTCACTAATTCCTAGAGCATCGCATACGCGTTGTTGTACAGACATTACCGATTTTAAAGGACCGCCATTTTCTTTTTCATCCGTAAAATACTTATGTACAGTACAAATTAGACTATCTACATCTAACACACGTCTAGGCATTTTTAAAATTTCCACTAAATTTACAATATACATACAATGTCAACACATTCAACTGCAATATTTGTAACAAATTTAGTACCTACCCTAATGTTATTTTAATTTAAATCTGACCATTAGGGCAATTTTACCTAATTTCTTGGGAAGAGGCTTATTGGAACTGCTTATCAATGACTAATTTGCATAATTTTGTTAATCCGAAACCCGCGTAAGTGTAGCGAACAGACTGTAAAACATTTTTGGAGTACTTTACCAAGGGTAAAAGAATACAATGGACCTTTGGTACCATTTTTATCTGGGCATAAACCAGTTTTAGATGCTTCAAAAACTTGTGTCACATGCAGCGCCACATGTATAAAAACGACAAACAGAGGAAATAGTAATAGAAACTCCAGGACAATCACACATTGCATGGAAGTTGAAGACTAATGACGTAAACCAAAGGAGCAATTTCAAGATATGAAAGCAAGTGGATAACTAACTTTTGATACAACTTTTGGCGTCTTCTGAAATACTGCATTTTCGTACAAAATTGGCTTATTCTGATGACTTAAATTATTTGATAAAACCTATATCCAAACCTTTTTTTTTTT